ACAGAGATTCTCTTTCCTATATCCTGAATGCTACTTTTTTTCCCACAGAATAAAATCACTGAATTGGAAGAGACCCACAAGGATCATCCTGTCCATCTCTCAAGAGAATGGCCCATACAGAATAACCTTGGCATTATTAGCACCATGCTCGAACTCATTGAACTAATCTTCTTTTTGCTAATTTTTGCACACCAAACACCCAGCATGTTATTTTATTCAGAAGGATTCATCTTCCCAAGACAGAATTGGTTTCTGTGTCTCAGCTCTCCATGTTAGTATTTTATTGCCATGAATTATTTGGGATTAGTAATGAAGTGTGGATCACAGGGCCCGGAGTCCTTCGCAGGGGGTGTCTGCTTTGCACTCTGTCATTTGTTTCCCAACAGCATTGTTCTCACTTCATTAGAAAATATTCGTTGCAGCTTCTAATTTATACAGTCCAAGTGATCTACTGATTATTCACCCCATTTTCTGGTAACTGCATCTATATTTGCTGTATAATTTTAGGCAAGTGCAGGACTCACAGTGCTACTAAAGTTAATGTGTATTGTTCTAATGCCCTAGAAAATTCAGTTACCAAGCAATACATCAAACACTTAGTTTCCCTCTTTCATTGCCATATCCTGCAATCTCACCTCATCTTTTCCCACAATAAATTTAATCCTTGACATAAATGACTGTTTTGTTTCAGTGTTTGGCCCTTAGGTCCTGCAGCAGCAGTGCTGATGCCAGAGAAGATGCAATGCTCAGGTGCTTCCTCAGCTTATTTGAGGCATCAGTACAGAGAGTTTTACTGTGTGACTCATGACTAAAGCTCTGTGGAAGGAAGGAAGGACAGAGGGAGGTCTGTCCAGCACAATCGCAAAGAAAATCTGCAGAATCATCATCAAAACCATCCTGCAACTTACATTTCTCACTGATCCCATCTGGCCTGATCCAAAGGCCATTGGATTTTGGACTTGGACCAATATGCAGACGCCTTTGTCCAAATCCCTTGTAGAATAAAATGTTGGCTCTCTTTATTGGCAGAGGATTTAGCAATAGGAAGAAGTTCAGTCCAAACCCTTTCTCCATGTGTGGCTGTTCCAAGAGATCCTAATTCACAAGGGCTCAATCTTGACCCTACATCCTCCTGCTTCTACTGCAGGATCATCTGGCTTTCCATCAGCACAGCTGTGGTAAGTAACTCACACAAGGCATGGAGCAGCTGAAGCAAGATGTTAAAAAGAGGATCTCCTCACTGCTTTGATAGTCAGTTATTATTTAATTGGCGTGGCAGTACTGGGAAGGTTGTAGGTGGTTCTGTAACCCGTCATGCCAAAATGTGAAGAGCAGATAATTTTTATTTCATTATGCTTTTGTTCTGCACAGTCTTCAATATTGTCAGAGTGTTGTTTGAACTTCAAGCAATTAATGAAACATGAACTGCTTATTAGGTGACCCAAAAGGTCTCTCCCCTACGATCTGTGAATACCAAATCAAAATCAACGTGTTGCTGGTAAATGCATATGCATGAAATCTTTCAAGACATCCTGGCTAAAATAGCTAATAATAAACCTCACATCATTCTTGAGAAAGCAGAACAGAAAGGGAAAAGGAGCCAACAAAAATAAAACATGCTTCTGCAAAACACTGCCTATGCAAGTTAGCATCAGCTACATGATCAATAGGTCAACCATTATGTATGGTATTTACATCTGATCTGCATTACTGCACTGCTGTGCTGAAATGACCAACAAGGCTCATATCAGCTAGCACTTCCTTCATTAAAATTTGCCTTCATATAAAATTTACCTTGATTTATGAGTTTGCATTCAGTGCTGTACATTTGAATGTAATACTGCCAAAATTTCTACAGGGTTCACCTGCTGGTTGTAGAGCAGAGATATTTCAAGATGAAAACAAACTAAAAATGGTTGCAGAAGGCTTATTATTATCAAAGAATGGAAAATAATAAACTTGTGCATATGGGCAGCCTTCTGCTACCACCATGTCACTGTGTATTATCATTTCTTGTTACTGAAAAGTAGTCTCCACACCCTCTATTTCCTTAATCCTGGATTTATTAACTCTTTCACACAGATATATACACACACATACAAACCTACAATTATTCTTTTGCTTTCATTAAAAAATATTGAGGGTGGTTTCCTTGGTATCTGCTGAAGAGAAACTTATTTGGGTTTAGAATATGGAATCTCAGGTGCTTCCACTTTCTTTCACATGTACACATTTTAAATTCAGATAGGCCCATATCCAAGCTCAGTCCAACCCTCCTCATCAGGAAGGCGAATTTTAGCTTCTCCATCATTTTAATGTTTATTCTGTGGCATCACAATAAAAACACACGTGCTCTTTGAGGGCATGAAAAATCTCCCTCCTAACCCTTAAAAAAATCTGTCAGTTATTCCTAAATATAAACCTGGCTAATAACAAGTTCCATAAGTAATTACACAGCACAGAGCACACAGAGCCTTTCCTCTTACTTCATTAATGCTATATGCTTCAAGGGAACACTGAGGAGTGACAGATTTGTAGTATGAAATTAGAAATTTTCAGCCAAGAGCTTAGGAAAGGAAGTGCAATAGAGAAGGTGAGCAGAAGGAAATACTCAACAGGAATGGAGAAAAGGGGGCTTCACTTGACAAATAGATTTTACCCTTTCTGTAAATCTCTTTGCCTCATTCACCACTCTGAAGTGTATGACTCTGAGTCCTTCTCAGCAAGTAGCCCCTTGCTCCTAAACATTTAGCTTTGGTCTGTCCAATGACTGCAGATTTATGCACTTGAACTATTTCACTTCCTAACATTCTGTAAATAAGCCCCATCTGGTCTATCTCTCCTTGAGTCCAAGTCCCTTCTCCCCGAACGTAAGTCATACAGTCTCAGTTAGCTAATGCCTTCCTTTAAATAAATCAGACTTTTCAAACCTTGATCTAATGCCTAAGCTCTTTTTGTCCCTCGAAAGAAGACTCTAACAGCTGCTCACTGTTACTATGCACTAGATCAAGTATTCAGAGATGGATCTATCAAAGAGGTCAACTCCCTCCTGACACCACATTAACTAATCTGCTGCTATTTTAAACTTTGCTTAGCTTTGTTATTACTTCTACTTCACTGCACCACTTGACATAGACATAGTGCATTTCATAACCCATTTACCCAATTGATCAAGATCGTTCTGTGAACAACCTCATCCTTCTAAATTTTAACCATTCTGCCTGTTTTAGCAGCATCTGATAACACATGATAGCACAGTATAAATAATGAAGAAAATGTTAACACAAACCCAGCCCTCTAACAACCTGCTTTTGGCCACAAAAATAAATTTGTCTCTTTTCTATATTGCTGCTATATAAGAAACAAGGGAACACTCTTGCTCATTTCTTTATTTCTGCAAGCCTTTTAAATCTGGGTCTTCCTATTGACTTTACCACAGCAACTCCCATAACTGAAAGGATTACTTGGAAGTTTGATGCTTCCAAGATCAAGTCCCTGCTCTTTACTGTCTTAATAATTTATTACTGAACCTGTATATGCAGAGTGTGTAGAATAATGCATCCCGTGAAACTTTGTTAAAAGTCTCTGAAAATCCCGATATGTCTGCTGCTTTCCTCCTATCTAGATCAATATTTATTTAATTTAAAAAAGGAATCCAATTTGCCTGACATGATTTACTTTCCACAAATCTATGCTGACTTGCATTATGATGCCGGACTCTTATTAAACTTTATGCAACTGTAGCCTTAAGCTTGCTAGCAAATGTGTTTTTGAGACTGCATTTATAAGAGAGGCTGTAATGCCCAAGAAGCATTTCACCACATTCTTATTACCACACAGGTCAGTTATTTTCCAGCTCAAACTGTTTTCTTTAAAACAGCAAAACAACACTGACCCTTCTCAAATTATTTGATGCAAACTCTTATTTCTGATGTGCATTCACACTGCAAATCATAGCCATGTATCAGGAGTCATATTGTGCCCAGCATTACACAATTCCCACTTAGAAACAGTCCTCAACACCCAGGGAGTTTAGACTGTGGCAACAGTCCCACCACTGATCTTATTGTTGGGTCTCAGTGAGAAGCTGGGCCAGACCAGCAGAGGCAGACAATCAAAATGTCAACAGCACGTAGCTGTACGAAGGAACAAGCAGCTGCAGGGCTTCCTTCTGGCTTGTGTTCCTGTCCCAAATAATGCTCCACACTGTTCAAGTGACCCTAGGTAGGCTGTTCCTCCTGTGGTGACATGAAGCCCCTCCACCCTTGCCACTGCTCAGTGCTCTGATCCCACGCTTCACCAGGAGGCTGATGCTCAAATCCAGTCTCAGGGTATTGTCTGCAGCACCCTGGGTCCTATCTGCTCTGATAATGGGCCACGCTCACTTTAGCAAGCGACATGCCAACAACACATGCCACTTCAGCACTCATCTCCTACAGGCTTCAGCTCCCCACTCTGCCACTATCACTGAATTCTGCACAGCTGCCTGGGGTAAGTTTCTGTCCAGTACTGATAGAGAGGGGCAAAACCCTCTCTGCTTTCTCATTCACTCCAATTTGGCAGTCACCAAAGAATTTCCAAAATCTCATCCTACCAATGCACATTTTCCCAGCTATTTGTGCAATGAAGTTTCCATTTTTATTCTTCCTCCCCTCCATTTCCTCTTACCATGCACTAACAATGCACTGAACTGAGCTCTTACTGATTTTTTCAGAGGACAATTTGTATACATTCAATAGTCAGAATGGGCTGGAGTATCTTGGTATGTACTTGCCAGACTGGCATTCATCAGGACTGTGAAACAGAACAAAATCCCACTGCAGTAATGAGGCTTTTTAACCCCTTTGTGACAGCACAGCTAAATGCCCTTTCAACCCCATGTATAATGCCATCAGCTGGGCACAGAAACACAGACCTACCCAGTTCCAAACGTGACATGAATACAGAATTTATTCAGGCAGTATCAAGCTGTTTGTGGTATTTCTTCTCAAGTACCCTACCTTGAACTCCATAGGGGTGTACTTCTCATTCTTGGGGGTTGTGTTGCCCTTGTAATGGAGATGGTTGGGAGTGGTTGGGTGGATAACAGTGGACTCCTGGGACTGCCTCTGGCAGCGCTGGCAATACACGTAAATCACAAACGTTAACAGGCTGGAGCCGAAGAAACAGGAGACCCCAGTGGCAATCAGATGGATGAGACTAAAACCTGCAAGGGAAATGACAAGAGATGCTATTTTTAAAGAACAGTCCTTTTCCCTACCCTGACAAGACCACAGGTGCAAATCAGAGCAGTGACATCTCGGGATCAACATTAATAAGCTGTTGAAGCCAGAGTCTTACGTTCTAACATAAACTGACATAATCTCCCTGCAAATCGGTCTCCCCATTGCAGCTCTGCCTTGTGCAGTTTAACAGGTTCATGCATTGTTTTCTCAAAGCTCCCTCCCTGTCTCTCTTCTCTCCCCTCTATTGATATTGAAACTAAACATTATGTTAAGCTGACAGCTAAAGAAATGAGCCATACAAACAATGCACATTAATGGATTCCAAAGCATGTGCGTGTCATGGAAATAAGGGGATAAAAATGCTCAGTGTTTCTCTGAAGGGGAAGGAAGGGAGGGAAAAGCACTTTTTGTCGGCTGTCCAAAATGCCTATGGGACTGTGTGGGGTGGAGGAGATACACATTCCTCCCCCTTGTAATCCAAGTGTGCTCAGCATTCTTGCTTATTCATGGGATGGCACTGCCTTGGTTGTGTCTGGGCTACCTCTGAGGTGTATTTGTAGTGCTAACAGTGAAATAGGGCTCCTCTGGAGAACAGGAAAGATAAAGTGGACAAAGGAAAGGGGGACAGTGCTTGAAAAACACTTCTTTGTTGGCTTTCTTGGCAAATTGCAGAGATAGGAAATCAGTTGCAGGCAGGTGCCGGCAGGGTAGCTACAGTGCAAATACTTGAAAAGCTCTTGGACTATAAAAGTCTCCTGCAGAGATCTCTCCATGTGGGATTGCAACAGCACCCTTCAAGGCCAGCACTGACCTCTGGAAGGAGCTGTAGCTGGGCATCCCACATACTGGCAAGTACCTGACTCACAGCTCTGACTGGTGGGGGAAGTCAAACTCATTCCCCCCTCACCTCACTGAGTCTCACACCCCACAGTAAAACCCACCACCACCACCACATCTCTGACAACAGAACCAACAGTAACGACCATTAGAGCCCCCAAGTTATCAAAGCAACCAGAGGCATTATGGGATGGCAAAACCTTATGACCCTGTTGTATTTTGCTATGTGCAGGGGGGACTATACAGAAAAGAATCAGCTATTTGACTCCAAATGCTTCTGCCTTTCCTCTGCCATCTTTCAAACAGGAATGACAGAGGCCCTAGAGCCCGAGGGGACCCCCTGACTGCTGGCCCCAGGGCAGCTGTCCCCGGGGTCAGTCACATCGCCTCAGTGGCGACTGCAGTGGTAAATTTCCTGTAACACTTAAAAAGCCAATTCATTTGGACAGACTGCTGTGTTGACTTGACTGTGTGCAGAGAAATGGGGCTGCTCAGAGAGTGGCTTTAAATGAGGCTCATTCTTAGTCTGATCACGGTGTGCAGATTTTTTGGTGCCATCTTACATTTTAAGTGTAAATGCTTTTCAAATAGCAGATTCTGCCATTAGTCAGTGGCTCTTGTCTAATCTCTAGTTAAAAAATATCCTTCTGATTTTAAAAAGAACAAAACCAATAGAGTTCTACAGCAAAGTAATGCACTTCAATCATAATTACAATACGGACCATACAGAATTTATTAGACTGATGAGCTACATTTATTTTTCAAACCATATTATAAAATTCCATTGCAAGATTACCATTTTCTATTGTTTTGTATGATGGTCCAAAAAACCCCAGCAGAAATATAATTTCCTACTAAATGTCACAAGACTTTTTCAAAAATAAATTTTCTTTCTAAAAACCGCTGCCTGTTTTGCATCACTCACGAGACCTAAAACATAGAATATGCAACTGTGTTCAGTAAAGCCACATGACATGCTGCCACATTCTCCTCCTGCCCAGCTTTGCTTATATTGCAGCGAATGTTTCATTTCACTGCCACATTTGCAAGTCACAACATAAAGCTCTCTCCTATTTCACTCTCACCTTTGAAACACCCGTCTGATTTTTCAAATGAGTTTTGGCTGTATCTTAGGGGGAAAAAAATAATATTATTTTGTTTGCAGCATGTGAGTCCCCAGGGGAAAGCTTTCTGGTTCATCACTTTGAAAATATAGATTTTCTGAAATGCATCAACAGAATTTCTATTGATTGGCTTCTTTGCCAAATATTGTAGAACACTACATTAATAAATAATATTAACTATGGCAAAATGTAGATAGCAACAGCAAATACAGTGGTGGTGGAAAAAGAAGGAAATGTGGGTACAGTGCATAACAGTAGAGTGCAAGCTATAGCAAGGGGTCCTGGAATCAAAGCAGAACCATTGCACCCTCTGAGGGAGAAGGCGTGATCCAGGAAGCCAAATGTTACATTGCAGGGGCTTAAATCTGAATTCCATTGATTGCCCTCAGCTGCAAACTGAGAAGCCACATTTCCATGCCACAGGTGGCGTGCCTGTTTTTGCCATGATCTCTACAGGGAGAAGAGATTTTGGCAGCCTGGAGATCATCTAGATTTCAGGAAAGCAGGGATGTGACACTAGCAGGAATTGGCATAGCCATTAGTGTGAAACCAGCATTTTAAAATGTTAAAGGAACCTGCCATTTTCTTCAGTCTGCATTTTTATCATAGGGGCTCCCAGGGCAGTGAGTGACACTAATGGCTGGACCTTTCCAAGTTACATGCAGAAAGGAGACACAGTTTCTGTGAGAGGTGAGAACTTGAATGAAAAGAAGTGCTTGGAGGACAAGTATAAACCTCTAATCTCATCCTCTATCAGCAAAGGATCTCTCTAAGAGACCCTTTCACTGAAATCTTTATAGGTTATTTAAAAACACCTGCCTCCAAACAGCTGGAGGCTTACAGTGGTGAATAGGGAATAACCCTTTCTTCCACCCAAACCATTTACCCTGGAGGTAGAGAGACACAAGCAATTGCTCTCTGGTAATTAATGACCCTCAGTGGCCAACCCAAACTTCCAAATAAATAAAAGTCTTGGACCTGACAAGTGGACATGAGATACATTCCTCCAGTCTGACTCAGACAGCAAGACTCCAGTGGAATTAAGGCTATCAGTGGGATATGAGCTGAATAGATTAATGGTTTGGTTGATACTGCACAGGGAGAAAAGAAGTCAGGTTAAGATAAAAATAAGATATATAGTTAGTGGTAACCTACCTCCACAGTTCGTGCTCTCGACCATGCTGGAGGCTGGCAGGATCACTAAACAAAAAGAAGATTGGAGAAAGTTATCATTTTGCCATCCCTTTACTTCTTCAAGTAATTAAACCCTTTGTGTTTCAGACACAAGAAGGTGCTCTGCAGCAATATGGTCTGCAGCAAGATGAGAGTCTCTCTAAATTGAATTATAAGCTCATGGTTTGAAACACATGCAGCAAAACCTCTCCAAAGATCTTATAATTTCAGTACTGTTACCTGATCACTCCTTAGCTTCTTCAATTTAGGGAAAAGATGTTAGCTGAAAAAACCATGAAAAAGAATACCATTGCCTAGAGATCTCAGATTTTTAAGTCAGTGTGCTGTAATCCAAAAAGAAGAACACATGGAAAGGCATTATTCAGTCTAGACCCATATCAGATATTTACCTGAGAGATTCAATTTCCAGAAAGCACAGGGTGGAATATGCTGATGACCATCTGTCCATCAACAGTGTTTCTCTGTTAGACCCTGGATTAATCTCCCACCTTCATACCCCAATTTTCTGCATCTGCCTCACCTTAATTCTTATCTCTTTTGGGATGCTTTTTGGATACCTGATGTCAACCACCTTCTGTTGCCCATATGCATATTGAGAACACAGACAATTTTTATAGCCCAGCATAAGACAAACCATACAAGTTTAAAAGCTTCAGCTGAGGTGAAGCAATACTAGTTATTCGTTACAGATCAAGGTAATTCTGTTTAAAAGAAACGTTAAGCTGCTTAAGGGAAAGCCATTTATCCTGTGCCTGCCACAAGGGAATTTATAACGTTTATCTATTTCCTTGTTTTTCTAGAAGCATCCAAGCCCAATTTTTAATAGAGAAAATCTCAGCCTAATTTGACAGTCCGGGCATGAGCTGCTTTCCCGAACTGGCCCACCCTGTCCTCCTGGATGACACGGTACATACCAGGAATTTCATTGTACAGGCACTCCTGGTACTGAGTGCTGTTTCCGACGCACTGGGAAGAGTCCGGGCTGTGCACCTCGCAGTAGCGGCTGCGGTACTGGATGCCCTCTTCATTGCACAGGCTCCACTCTGACCACTCTGACCAGCCACCTGAAATCCAGGGTCAGGAAAACACACACACAGCGTCACCAAGAAGGAAAAGGATGCTTTGTAGATACCAGACTTCTCCCATGCTGAAGGATCCTAGATCCTGGCCTGAGCCTCTCTCACACATCTATTCCATAGGTCCTTAGTAGATTTAATTTTCTCAGTGCAAGCATCACAGCCTACTTGTCAGGCTGTAGTTCTCTTAATGTGGACTAAACTAACCCTTGGTGGAGCATTGCACAGAACAAAGTTGTCTTAAAAGCATATCAGTTCTCTGATATATATCCTTGTATGTCTTTGAGTGGGGTGGGGCAACGTTGCACCCAGACCTCCAAGCTTTGATGTGTCCTCTCAAAGATACCTCAAGCAGCCAGCACAAAGTGGAGCACTCACAGAGTTTTGCTGAGGTTCCTAAGGACAGGAGTCAGCCTACACTGGATCAGAAATACACAACGGTAGTTCAAAACCAGCACAAATCTAAACCCTGTCCTCTGAGTTGTAGCACATGCTGATCTATTGCCTGTGAAACAAAAAGGAAAGATTGTCCTTCAGCAGCTGTACAGATTGCTGCCTCATGACACCTTTTGTTTGTCAGGTCAACTTCCACATTGAAGAACCAAGCGTCTGCTTTTTCTGTTACTTGAAAGGGATCAACCATTAGCAAAATTCTGCTTGACCTGCACCAGAATACCTGAGCAAGAGCCAGTGAACATGCAAAGAGGAAGGGGTTTCACTGCAGTTAATGCTGGGATGTCTCCTTATCCCCTGGCTCAACAGACATCGAATACATGACAAAAAAACTTGTAACTGGTGGTGTTTCTGATTTGTATTGTAAACATTTTGCAGCTGTGCCTTGCTCCCACCAGCCTGGAAGCCAGCTGGAGCGGGGATGAGGAGCAGCTACCTTGGCAGGGGTGCGTGTTGCAGAGGGCCTCCTCCGTGTGCAGCCCGATGCAGATGTCCTCCCCGCTGGACGGAGCTGGGTTGGTGCAGGTCCGTGTGCGCTGGTAGTGCCCACCCCCACAGGTGGCTGAGCAGTGAGACCAGGGAGTCCAGCAAGACCATGAGCCTTTCACTGGAGGATATTGAAAAGCAAGCACAGACAGGTAGAGGCCATTGGTTACTCCTCTTACTGTGACAAAGCTGGAGATCCCCAGTGTCTCACCTCGCACATCCACCCTGCCCACACTAGCTAGCAGTTTCCTGCACCCCAGGACATTTGGGCCTGACAACAAGAACTTCACATCAAGAGAGGGTACAAATCCACTACACTCTGTGGATGCAGAATGAAATCTATGCAGAAAAAGACTCTGCATCATAAAGTGCCAAAACTAGAAACTATTCTTTGTTGTAGTCATTAATATTCACTGAAATATTCTACTCCATTCTATTGCTTTCCTTTTTATAAAACAGCATTGTTGCTATTATTATTGTTATTATTATTATTACTACTACTACTATTACTACTACTACTGCTCCCTCTACTACTACAGTGACTGCTACATTGTCTCCTGAAACTTCATAGCAACAGCTGATTTACTTGGGAAAAAAGCGCTGTAGCACCGAAGTTGAGCTTATATGGCACCTTTCTGTGGGAGGCCCAAGTCCTCTAGTTCCAGCCTTCAGGAAACAGCGGCTCAGAGGTTTTATTTATTTACCCCGCTCATTGCAGGGACATTGAACTAGGTGACCTTTAAAGGTCCCTTCCAACCCAAACTACTCTATGATCTAAGCATAACCCCATAAGGGGTTAATAATAGAACTAGGGAGGGACGTAAGATCCTTGACTCCCCCACCCCCCACCCACTAAACTGCCTGGTTTGCAGGTCCACATGCCATTAATTCAGAAGATAATAACCTGATGACTTAGAGCAAAATAAACCCAGGATTTGTGTATACACATTGAGTGAGGCAGGGAAGGAGGGAGACACAGAGAAATAGTAATCATGCACTCAGAACAGATTGTAAAACATCAGAGTGTCCAAGGGGAGAAAACAGCACAGAAAAAAGGCACAAACATTAGTGAAAAAGCCACTGAGAGCTTCCAAAATAGTACTAATAGCTGCCTTTATAGTGCTAGAGTTATTTCCTTTTTATAGGCCATAGAGTGCAATATTTGACACTCCTGTTGTACTCTTGCTGCACATTCTGATCATATCTGCATTTGAATTTTATCTTTGTATTGAATTTTAGAATCATAATAGTACTACTATAATAGAGCATTTTCAAGTGTAGGCCACAAACTATATTGCCAGAGGTAGATAATTGCTGGAGCTGCAAAGAGGCAAGGTAATTTGTGTAAGATCACTTAAATTTACTTTAGAAAGTTATTACAGAGCAAGGAAAATGATAAGTGAGAGAGAATACAGTAGTCAATGGTCTATTACTACTATTCTGGACCAGGAGTGCAACATAAACATGAGGACAAACTCGAAAACCAGGAAACCAGGCAAGAATACTCCCTGCTGGCTGTGCAGGAAATGGTAACTGATGTCAAGAGTAGATGCCCATCGCAAGAACAATACGAAAGCAGGAGAGGGGGAAGAAATAAGTGTTCACAAGTAGAACCGCCACATCAAGCATCTCTATACAGTATTAAGCCACATTTATTAAGCCTGCCTTCTCTTCATGGAGCAGATGCACCATGATGCCCTCCACTGGATGGAGCATCAAACCTTCCTGAAGCAAAGGATTGCTACAAGCCACCATACTACTTCCTCTAGAGGATGTGGCTGTGTTACCCTCTGAGCCGAGGTGAAACCTAAGTCAGCACTAAAGATAACATACGTGGGTCATTAAATAGCTTTAAAAAACATAAGGCAAAATCCCCCAAATTAAAAAAAAAAAAAGGAAAAGAAAAAAAAGGCAGCTTAGAAATACTGATTTTGTGGTTGTGGTTGTTGCTCTACCATTAAGATTTAGGAAAACACCTCTGAATTTCATGCAGGAAGATGATCATGTTTACCTGGGCAGGGGTGAGGATTGCAGTCTTGGTACTCCATCGCTGACCCCACACAGGGCAAGCCACCATTTTTAGGTTCAGGGTTTGTGCATGTTCTCTTCCTGATCCTAAAGCCCAGCTCACAATCCCTGGAGCAGGAAGACCAGGCCCCCCAAAAGGACCAGCCCCCATTGATAATCCGTGCAGAGGTCTTACCAGTCTTGAGGAGGTCATCAACAAGAGCTTCAAGGAAAACAAACAAAATGCCATAAGATCACAAATTAATCATTTGTTGGGTGTTTAAAAAGGTGTTCAGCTCATGAATAAAATCAGGATCTATATGCCCTGCAGAACAGTTTCTGCTGAAAGCCCTTGGCAAGAGTTTTTTTTTTTTTCCCAGAGCGACAGCTAAACTAGACAGAAAAAGAAATTTGTACACATACAAACTGAGTCTGCTGGTAACCTTGACAAATCACCTCCCTGGGCAGCACATTGTGGCAGTCCAGGCTGTGCCCTCAAGATGCTGCCTTGCATCACAGCAGTCCTGCAGGGAACAACCTGAGAGACAGCGCGCAAGGGCAGAAAGAAAAGACACACTGTCCTGAGAACAGCTCTTCTCTTCTTTAGACCCCCATTACTCGCCTGCTATCTTTGGGGCAGCCTAGCAGGAGCAATAACACATCTATACACTGCCATAAGCACAGAGCTCACGACTGTGTATCTGTGTCATGGGGCTCTCCCCATCCCTGCCACTCAGCAGTGACACCAGCCGTACATGTTGCCACTACTGCAGCCACAGTCAAGGGCTTGTTCCGAGACATCCCCCTTCCACCACCCCACCTAGGCCTGCCCCAGGGTCCCTCCGAGCTGGCAGGACGTACAGTCAGTGTCACACACTGCGGAGCCATCGTTGGGGCAGAAGCGACTCTCAGTTTTCTTCCTCCCGAACTGCAGCTCGTGGGGGTCTGACAGCTGGGCCCGGCACGTGTAGCGGAAGCGCTGCTCCTGGCGCGCGCCGTTCTGGGTGATGTTGACAGGCATCCACGGGGTCCAGGGTGTGTTCCTGCGCACCTCTGGGCAGCTCTCTGGGTTGCATGTCTTGTATTCCTGCCACGAAGGAAAACCACTCCCTCCTTACTTATTAAACAGCAGCAGCCTAACTGGCAGAGGCTTACTTACACTTCAGAAAACAACGAGAGTACTCTCTAGATCTCAAACAACCCCCACCCACCTTATCTGACCTCACAGGAACAAGTCAGTGCTGGGCACAGCACAAAATGTGGTGATTATACAGGCAGTGTGCTACATAGGTGGACCTCAAGGGTAAACTGTGCTTGCTATTTTTATGTCTCCCTCAGGTTTGCGTTTCTTTGCTGACTCAAAGTCCTGTGGGGCTTCAACAGCTTGGTTCATTATCGGCAGGAGAATAATTCAGGCAAGAGATAATAATAACAACAAACAAGTTTTCTGCTCTGACCCTGAGATACTCTTCTCAGGTCAGTCTAGAGAAGCCTCAAGAGGACAAAATGTCAGCAAGGTTCATTCCTTGAAAGTTTATAATTTCATTTTTAATAGTAGGGTTTAGAGTAGATCTTTTTACAGCTATTTTTGTTTGGTTGGCTTTTCAAACTCTCTCGTGAAGGTTATGAACCATTTGCCATCCTTGGTCTAGAGCAGCCATTGAGCATAGACAGTATTCTGGCTGGCTGGGAATGGGGGGATTTGAGGGTTTTACAATTCTCATCACTAATGGGAGTAATTCCAGTGACAAACATTTGTGTTCTTGATTTAAATAAACTAAATAAAAAACTCTCTTCTGGCAGAGGGGAAGAAATGTAATGCTTCAGGACTTCATGATTCTAGTGTAAATGCCAAATATCTTGGTAAGAAATCTGAGGTTCCAGAGCAAATCTGCTTACACTGAAATGAAGCCCCACACAACCAATTAAAATGGTTGCAGGAAACAGCTGCTGGAACAGCAGTGGGAAAGTAAAGAGAGCAAATGGGGTGCTGGACCTTTTGTTTACTCAAGTGTGACAGTGCAACTCATTTTTGATGTGTGTGGCCTCCTTGACTCAACAGGATCATCCCTGGGAGTGGGACAGAAGAAGAGAACATGTCCAGAGCTTTCAGGTAAAGGACTTGATATCAGCCTACAGAGGCCTAAGGAAGAACTCTGTACACCAGTCTGTCCCTAAATCTGTCACCCCTCTGTTTCCGAGTTCATTTCAGCATCCTCTGCAGCAAAAACTGAGGATAGCATTTTCTTCTTGCTTGAGAAATAAAACCACAATGGAGAGAGAAGCTAAATACCCCATTCCTCAATGCTACTGTCAATAGGTACCCCTCATGCAATGTCAATAAATAATACATACCACAGCACAGCCTGGACATGTGTTTCCATTTTCACAGGACCTCTGCCTTGAATGAATCCCTCCACCACAATTCACGCTACATTTATTCCAGGGTCCCCATGAAGACCAAAAAATCGGTAATGGACATGGACTGTTCTCATTACAGAACCTGAAAGAAGAAAGTGCTTAAAAAACTCCATGTCAGCACATCCAAGGGAGGAAACGGTGTGGGACGCAAGACTGCACACTGCATTTGGGCACAACTGATGCATGCACAGAGAGTCAGCAGTGGCTGACACAACATCAGATTAGCAATATTCCTGTCCATGGAGAGAAATGTAGCCTTCGTACCAAATGGGTGTGATTAATCAGGCTGAGCTCAGTGACATGGTTGGAGTAAATTGTCAGGATCAGGTTTTCTGAAGTGCTCTGTCTCAGAACTTTTCCACAAACACTGAGTCCACAAAAGAGCTCATAAACTGATGCCCAAATGTCACAAAGAAAGAGTGGATAGCAAATATTCTAAATGGGATGACTGGTGGGAGGACAACTCAACACTGATCTGTCACTACCGGCAGGTACTAAATACCTCACAATGTTCTTTTCACACAATCTGGCTTTTACTGCTGCCTCAGCCCTAAAAAGCTAGAGTTTGCAACTGGATCCTATATACATCTAAAAGCAGGGGAATGCTATTTCATGTTGTGTGTCAAAAGTAACTGTGATTTTGTTCATCTTTTAAATCAATATTGTTCTCAAATTTAATCACACAGAACTACAACTGACTCAGAGGTAGTCTTTAAACCCAAAAAGGAACATTGTGAATGGACACAAATCCAACCAAACATTAAAATGTCTTGAAATATGGAAGTTAAATGACTTGCTCTTTTTATTCTGAGAAATGCAGAGACATATATCTTAGTGACCACTCAAGGGACAAGCAACAGTCTATTGCCAAGTAGAGGTGGCCTTTAATGAAATGTCAGGCCTGGAAGGAAGTTGGGGTGCCTTGAAGCATGTATTTCATGAGGGGCCAAGCTTGAAGAAGGGCTATAGTTCAGATGGCTCTGTAGGTTCAGAAAGCATTAGGTTTTTAGTAATTTTGTGTGAAATTTTCATAGTTTAGAGGGAGGAAAAGGTGTTTTTCTGATAACATACCCTGCAAAAACTCAAGCCTGAATCTGTGAGTTAAGCTGTATTTTGCCTTGAACTGCTTTTGGAGCATCAGCACAAGTAATAGAGACTTGGAAATGGTGCAACTGGCAGTGAAAGCTGCACATATTCAGCTGCCACTCTAGGGATGAATCAGAAAGGAGTAACTGTGTCCATAAACTCTACAGTGCCAACAACAGGCACAGCTTCTCCCTTCGGGGAGGAGGTCAGCCCTCTGTGTGGGACAAGAATACTTGCAGAGGTCTGAAGGGTCCTGCTTGGGAGTGAGGGCAGCTGTGAAGTGTCTGATGTTCACAGGCTCACTGAAAGAGGGTGTCCATGCACAAACACAGCCGCATCCCTCCCAGGCTCCAGGACTGCTTCCGCTCTGCACGTTGAGCCCACAGCCTCAATCTGCCTTCCCAGCCACCACTTCCAGCTGCCAACACTGCAGCCACAGGAATGAGCACACACCATCATGAACTCTTACCTTTCCTCCCTGCTCTGTCCAACGCAGACCCTGCCCCCATACCGTGGCGCGGGATTGCTGCAGGAGCGCTGCCGGACCTGGAAGCCGATCCCACAGGAGGTGCTGCATGGGGCCCAGGAAGACCACGGTGTCCAAGCACCATTTCTAGCAAAAAGGGTGAGAGAGAACAGAGTATGGGAGAAGTGTTGAACTCAGGGGAGAATAGATCATTCATTTCAACCAGTCTTTGTATTGGGGGAGTTTTTTAAAAGGGAGTTTCAAAAGTGCTTAGCAGTGGCCTAACTGTCTTCCCTTTGAAGTCTCTAAGAATTGAAAAGGAAGACAACTAAGGCAATGCTGAATGATTTTGAAAATGTCTCCTAGAATTTACTAGGCAATAGTGTGGTTAGTGTAATTTTCAGTGACTATTCTCCATCATCTTCCCCATGTATCATAACCCTGCTCTTCTGACCCAATGGCTGATCCCAAAATTGTATGTCCTGAACTCTTCTGCACAGGAGTTCTGGTTTTGAGGATCATGAATGTCAGTTGTGCTGAAGGATGTAAAAAAACCTACCCTCTGCTAATTCAGTAGATACTTATGCTTTGAATCTTTTACAGCAACACCACTGCCAGCTCCCATGTTTTCATCACAAACCTCATAATATTTTGTGCTTTCCTAAAGCCTTCAGCATTGAATCATATTAAATGGAAATCTCAAATTTCATTAAAAATAACAATAATTGCTTATAGCTTTCATGGCCGCTTGCAGACGTCACTGCAGTGTGACCTTAAATCTGTAGAAACCAGAGGCAATTAAGAGCTCAGAGGCAGGATCGAGTTTCATGGTTTAATGAGTGATCACATCTCTGCTGAACAGTGGTAACACAGCCTGAAGCCAGTGTGATGTAAAACTGCCTAGTTCACACCTCAGCGCTGGAAACACTGGCAAAGCTCCTGTGAGAGGCTGAGCATGTGCAGGTGCCTAAACATGTGCTTACACAGAAGCCAACATTTTAATCTTTAAAATCTTGCATCTATTAAAGCTCACCTTCCTCTGATTTGGCAGCACTGGACCTTGAAGCAGGAGAGGAGGAACCATATCTCATCCTTTCTGTGCTGCAGGTTTCATTTCATATGGAGCCAGTGGTAATGCTCTGTCTTATAAAACTGCCTAATCTTGACATTTCAGTGCCTTAAGCCAAAAAATATCTTTCCTGGGGTGTGTTTTTTCAAAAAAGAAAAACCTTTCTAAAAAGTATAGTCAAAAAACAACTCAGGTGCTCTCTGACTCTTGAAAGCTAAGCTTGAAAACAGATGTTAATTTTCAAAGCATTTACTGAACTAATAACACTGCTGGCAAGAAGTATTTTCTGGCATAGCACCAATCAGGGCAGAGGATGAAAGTTAAAACCCACATTGCCCTTCACAGTTTTTGTATTTTTTATCAACTCTTGCCTGTTCTTGGCAGCTTTATTTCAGAACCCTGTTAGATCTTTCCCCCCTCTTCTTGTTCTCTTATCCTTCTCCCTCTCCCTCTCTTCCTTCCCTTCTCCCACCCCAAACAAGGTCAAAGAACAAGAAATCCACTCATATAAAAAAACCTACTATTCCATATTATTCTGCTATGTTTTAAACTACCTACTACCTCCCTTCTTTAACTTAAAAGAATAATAATATGTAAAATCATAAAAAAAAAATCAAATGGAAGGTTGCTGTTACTGCTGCAAAAAGGGCAAGTAATTTCTACTAAAGAAATCCTCAAAACCCCAACAATTCTCGACATCTATTTGTGTTTCAGGATTTTTAACAAAAATAAAGACAACTTCCACTTTCAGATCTCCAGCTTTTTAATAGAACTCATCTTTAAACATCCTACTCCCTCTTTGCAGAAAGAAATCTCAGTGCCATATGAAGTCAATTAAAGGAAATTTGAGGGCTGAAGCGGATGTAAGATGACCAGATGTCCCTATTTTTCAAACCATGCTGTTTTCGTATGTCTTAAGATTGAATAATCTGTTTTTCATCCCTTTCTTAGAAGCTGTTCCTGCCTCTTTTGCCATCAGAGCAGTGCTGAGAAATCCATCCCACTGGCATGTTTTCCATTTGTCACTGACAGAAAAAGCCTGCCTGGGAAAGGCTTTTGCTCAGCCCATGGTGGCAGCACAGGGGCAGGAATGACTGCACACCTTTTGGGCAACACGACCCATAACTGGAAGGAGAGATGCCAATTAAAACATGAGTATTGCTGAATTTTTGGTGCCAAGGCCAGCACTGATCTCCAGGGATGAGTCAAGAGGCAGCTGTCCTTAATGGAATGAATGTTTATGGAGAAGATAAAGTACATAAAAACTATATTGACCCAATATTTACCAAAATCCTGGCTGCCCCCACCCTGATTAAATAGTGCTTACACTACTGCATCATCTTCCCTTGAGTCATGACATGATGTGGTCTGAGGTGGTGGGGCACCACGGACACAAACACCATGGCTATGTTTGGGCACCCTACAGGAGGACATTTAGCTTCCATACTGCCAAAGCTGAGCTTCAGGCTCCCGTGGGCAGGCAGTGCTTTGGCCCCAGCTGAGCTCTGTGTGTTGTTCCAGCGCCGTCCCGGCAGCCGCCTCCCGCACCCTCCTGCTGGCTGCCAGAGGATGAGCCTGAGGATGACGAGCTGCTCTCACCTGTGCAGCAGACAGGCTGTGCTGCAGACAGGTCACAGACTCCAGAACAAGGCAAACAAGCCTTGCCTGGAGCTAGGCTCAGCCCTGTCCTTACAAGTGTTGCTCTGAAGGAGCTCTGCTTGGTTTTGGCAAAGTGGCCTTGGAACCCAAGCCCTGAAAAATTATGAGCTTATTGATTTTTTTAGTCTGCTGTTCAGCTGGCTGACAACTACCTCTGCCTTACTCACCTCCTCCTGGTGGGTGACTACTCACTGTACAGCTGAGGGAAACCAAGGCACAGTTTGGTGTACAGTAATTTGGGGTGCTCATCTTCCAAGAGCCTTGGCTGAGGGCCCTTTGCTCAGAGCCTTAGGTTTCTTCATTTTACACAGACTTCAAGCTGAACCTCACACACCTCACATTGGCTGGGATACAATGACATGCTCACAAGGAAGGAGCTAAGCTGTCGACACACACAACTCTTGCTCCCTTGAGAAGCACAAAGACGCTGAGGTACCTTGAACAATTTGCAACTTCAATCCTGGCCCCTTCACAGCTGCGACCTCCACAGCGAGGACGAGGGCTGTCACATGAACGTGACCTACACATACAGGAGCCTGTGCTGTCCCCATCTGAATGCTCACACAGTTGCCATGGGGACCAAGGCCCCAATCTTCCATTTGTCGTCAGGTTTTTCACCTAATTTTATGAGGAAAAAAAAAAGTCATTAATAGCAAGTTTACATTTCTGGAGACAGGCCCACAATAGAAATGCCAAAGAAAGCTGCCGGGGGGATTAGGATGCATCTTAGATGGGAGCTGTCTGTGCTTGCGAGCAAGATTCAAAACAGAGGGTTGTTTTCAGACAATGCCACATCAATATTTACCCTCCAAATTCCACGCTGCATACCTAACATGTGCACACAGGCACTGAGCCGACCCAGCCAGCACCACACCAGGAGCAACAACCATCTGCCACACCACACAACCACCATGCTCCCTGTTCCACACTGCACAGATTCAGCCTTTCAAGCAACACCATGGCCAGTACTGACTGACCCCACTCCATCATATTCCAGCCTCTGCAGGGCTTCCTGCAGAGTATTTTCCAAGTTAGTGTTCATATAACCATAGTGACCAGTTGAGGCTGGGGACTCACTGAGTTTGGCCCTGCCCAAACCTGCAGTAAAAATTATTTCCCTTTCTAAACTGAGGTGTAGCCTAAATGGTCATGTGGATGAAGAACAAAAAGTGACGAACATGACGGTGACTAGCATTAATGTTGAGGATCACATAGTCACCTAAAGAGTAAGGATTCATCTCAAGACAATTTATAGACCAGACCACACTGCTATCTGTTCCCTCTGCCCTTTGCTTCATGCCTGCACAGCCTTGAACAGGCTGGGACTTGACAGCTTCCTGCATACTGTAGTGAAGGAAAAATACAGTAGTCCTGGCAGACCAAGAGCATGAGAAACAGAACTGTTTCAGGGCTGGTGACAACCCTCCAGTAGACAGAGTGTCAGAGCTTGCTCTCCTGTGCCCTGTTTTAACCAGTGCTTCTAGAGGAGCCCTAAGCCGTGGGCTGGGAGACAAGGCTGCTAGGGCCCTTGCCCCCAAAGGCTGTCTGGAGAGGATGTGCTACTTGCTTCTCCTGGAATCGCTCCTGGCCACTACTGCCTTCTTGTGCCCACTCCACCACTACTGCAAAGTCCTGCAGACCAAGACTAGGTCTTGAAAGCTTCCCTGAACACCCCTGTCCTGGCATCCCTTCTGCTATTGGCTTGAGAAACGCCATGCAGAAAGGGATTGGTGCTGGCCCTGCCTGCGTACAGCTACTCCCCTGTAAAAGCACAGCACCATGATGAACTTCTGCTCCCCGCCCCATGCCCCCATCCCGAAGTGCCAGGCCTTGCAGGCAGATGGCACAGATGGCGGCTGCCTGCAAGCAGCTCATGCCTGTGGGGTGACCCATGTGGTGGTGGGGTGCTCAGCAGCTTTGGTAAAGCTGCTGGCAAAGGCAACACTGCATTTGGCCTCAGTGATGCACACAACCAAGGGTGAAGGCAGGAGGAGGCTGGGCCCCTGGCAAGCAGCCCTGGCCCCAGATCTGAGCCAGCTACCCTGACAAACCCCACAGTGCCATGCTCCAGTGAGCTCTGCTGCCAGCAGGATCCGTCCCCTGGGCTGCCCCAGAGGGGGAATGATTGTCCCTGCTTTACAGACAAGTAAACCGAGGCACGGAGGGGCTGTGAGCCTGCTCAGCAGTCATGCAAGAGCCAACCACAGCCTTGGGAAGAGTGCTTTCCAGCATTCATCCTCTGAAACATGCTGCTCTGTGCTTATTCTCCAAGACTGGCACTACGTTAAACACTCTGAATGTACCTCTGGTGGGTTGTCATCTTCCCCTCTCAACCATCTAGAGCAGCATCAAAAATATGCAGCAGTGGCATGGAAGCAATTTAGATCTGATACTCAACTCCTCAGGCTGCAGCTGGGGGTTTCAGGCATCTGCTGTAAGCCTTTGTTTGCAATAGATTATCATGTAGTTGTAAAAATTTGCTCTGGGCGGAAGGTTACAAGGCAAGATGCCCACAGAGGAGATCATTGAGCTTTGTTGTTGTTGTTGAATTTGCTGTTTTAAACACTGTTTAAAAATCAATACAGTTGGGTTTCTAGAAGTTGGAAGGGGGGAATCAAAATAAGTACTTTGAGATATTTAACACTAGATTTTTATCTCATTTTTCCTCTTGCCTTAGAAGTATTGGATCATTTCTATTCATTTTTGAGCCAGAAAGCCTTGCTGATTCCAGCAGGGAGTTCTGTTCTGAAATCAATGGGATGATATGGCCCGTGGCATCAATTAAAAAAAATAAAAAACTAGCAAATAATCATTGGCTCGTAAGTGATACTGGGAAACAACCCAAAAATTAAACAAATAAGCAACTATAACCAAATGCTGAGATTTATAAACATGTCACACTGTGAGTGTGGGAAGATTTATACTTAAGAAATTTCATATGGATTATCATTCCATCTTTAAATCCACAAAAATATCTTCAAAAGAGTAAACTTAGGAAGTGGGATAAAAACACATATGCACTGATCTTTTTCAGGAATACCTTTACAAGGCAAATCCTTTGAAGCCTACACAGTGCCTATCAGACAGAGAGGACATCTTTAAAAACACATCTGATCAAATGCCCTTCTCTCACCTGCCAGTATTGCCATTTCTGGAATTCTTGCCTTTTATAAACTGCCATACTCACACCAAAGGCCTCATTTTTTTTCTTCCATGTAGAATCTAAAAAGCTCAAGTGCAGCATCTAAAAATTCAGACTGACCACTTCTAATCTCTGCTACCAGGATATTTTCCATGTTTATTCTGATATTACAGGTAAGATTGGAAGCATTCCTTGTTCTTTCAATTAATCTGTTCTTTATCTTGGGATTCAGATATGAACTGCTTATAATTTTGCCAAGCTTTAATTACTTAATCTGGAAGTTTCCATGTTAGCTGTTTGATGAAAGCTGAAAGTTCTTGCAAAGTTTCAGTCAAACTACTTAAACCGTTCATAAAATCAAATCTAGAGGAAAAGACTCTCCATAAGTAGCAATATTTTCCTTGAAACAAACTAGTGTTCAGAGCAAAGAGGTGAACTTTATGTCCTTGTAACACATTTTGCAATTCCCGTGAAACCATTCAAAACTGTCCAGCGTATAAAATCACTGGGACATCAGAAAAATTAAGTTTTCAGAGATTCATAGATTTTAATCCCATCACCCAAAGACTCTTCTGTGCACTGGAGATGCTTCAGTGTGGGCCAGAGCAGGATCACCCTGGGCACTGCAGCTCTGAGCAGCTGAGTCCACACGAATTGATAGCAGGGTACAAGACACCCAAAAACAGAGTGGGGAAACTGCCACGGTAGCATGGAACAGATGCAATATGAGTAAGATAGTGAGGGGTTTGTTGGAAACACAAAGTAGGACTGGGTTGAACACCTGGAAGGAAGATCATTGTTTGGCTCAGGATAAGGAGGACAGTACACTTTACTGGGAATACTCAATTCCTGACTTGCCCACCATCCTCAACAGTGACAACATGAGCTTGGCTAATAGTTTATTAGTTAAAGCTAAAGTTCCTTTCCTACTGGTGGCTCATGTTGGCATCAGTAAGATACCACAAAATAGGATGCATCTGTTTTTCTAAAATCAAAGGGCACCTCACTCCCTTCTCCCAAGAAAGCTCGTGCAATCTGTATCAGAGCTCCCTGGTAAAGTAAGGGCACATACATGGAAGAGCAGCTTAGTTTGTGGAATTTGTGTGCTACCATTTCTTAATGTTACAATGGTTGAGAATGCAACCTCAGTAGCCCCTAGGAAATTCTGCATGTTATCTAGTAATACTATATACTGACCATTACACCATGTATTATGTTTACACTGCATGATTAAGCCTCTATCTAAAGTCCCTTCATATTAAAGCTGGAGAGTGGGGATCTGTGGCACAATGTAGTGCTGTACAAAGATGTTCAGACTAGCTCTGAACAAGCCTGTTTGCACAAGAGCAGCAGTCGTGTTAGTGTTGTGGTTGACTCACACAAATGCCTGGCCCATGTAGGATATAATTCAATAATATGCCAGTTCTGGCTTTAAAAGTTGCTGAATGCCAGTCTCTCAGCTGTGCCAGGACATCTGTTTGTGGGCTAGGCTGCAGAAGAACTCACTGACATTAGCTGGGTTAGGAAAAGTTTATTTGGGAGGGGTGCTTTTAATCTACACCATTTTACACTTGACTGTGATCTCACATACAGCTGTACCAGCACAGCTGAGTGCCTGGTGCTCAGCCCAGAAAAGCAGGGTGGGAAAAGCCAGGACTTCTTATGAGAGTAACTCATCCAGCTAAACTCACAGACAGGTCTTTTGCAGGAATGAAGTTTGGCATTGGGTCATTACATTCCCCTTCCCTTTCAGTGCTCATCTGCACATGCTGTTCTAGACTCTTGCTTCTGTTGACCATGACTTTTGTCCTGCACTGAATACAAGGAAATACTTGGATATTGCTGATGCAGGTGTTTAAATGAGCCATCCCACTCCATGTCAGTATGAATTTGTTCCAGTGAGTGGCAGGGGTTAAAGAAAAAGGAAGTACTTGCATGTGGATTTTAAACAGCTTGGCAGCCTGTCAGTCAAAGAGCACAAGGCTGACATATGTAACAGAATAGAGCATCTACACAGAAAATAATCTACAATGGAATGTTAAAACAAATGTAAAATGTACCCAAGAACAGCCAAAACTCCTGAATATTCTGTGCTGGATTTTTATGACCTTGAAACAATGACCTGGAGTAGTTTGTTCCCTAGCATGCACCACAGCAGACATGCTCAAACTAGAGGATTAACACCTCACACACCTATCAACAGACACAGGCATTAAGCAGGATGAGATAACAGCATGGGCAATCAAGAAGGACTGCATCCCAGTTCAGCACAGGAGGGTTATAAACACACAAGCCTCTGAATCCAGCAGTGAAAAACTCAAGCCTGCCAAGCTGAGGATGGATTGAAGTAATGACTAATATTTCCTGGGAAAATATCTTTGGAGTAAGGAAGATAAGGGGAATAAACACCCCAGCACCTCCAGACAGAAATAACGTACTGAAGATATAACCCATCCAGTCCTCTCTCCCTATCTACTGGACTTAACAGTATTACCATGCTAATTGACATTAGATAATAACAATGAGCATTAATGACAATTTCTCCTCCACCCTCAATTTATTTAACAAGACTGCTTTTTCATTCCCAGCCATCTTGGAGGTACAGTTCAAGCGGCAGGAATTATAGTCAGCCAGCCAGCTTCTGGGGATCACAGCCAGGAACTGGATATTGTCATCAGAGAAGGGTGGGTGGCTGGCAAGGGAGCTGGAGAGTCAGTCTGATTCAAGAAGAGACACTTATTTTCTATATGCATCTCTTGGTGACCAGAACCAGGAAAAAAGACCATCTCTTTGCAATATCATATAAATTTGGTCTCAGGTCTGCTGGAGTCAGATTAGAACAGCCAGACCTCTTCAGGCTGCCATACACCCTGCTTCCCTTCTCCCTTTACACATACACACATCAATCAGTATATATAAAACGTTTCCACTGCTTCCACTTACTGGGCACTCAGTAATATTTTGGGTCCAGAGGCTCATGTTGGAGCTGTCCTCAATGGTAGTGCATCGCTTCTGTTTGCTATCCCAGCCACAGTAAGGGTCTCTGGCTCCCAGGCACTCCCTGCATGTGTAAAGACAAAAGATTAAAGCCCTTTAAGACTGTCTAGCTCTAAAGACACGTATTCAAGTATAGTCCTTGTGTGTGACAGCTGTCAGCCGCACCAAGGCTCAGCAGAAGAAACAATTTCTTTAAGCGGAGGTTTACCTGCTTGGAAGGGGGAAAAAATGAATAGGAGGGTGATAGGACACAAAGCAAATATCACTCATAGAAACTGTAGATTAAAAATCACTTCACTCTTCTCCAAGGCCTAGGGAAAGAAAATGACTTTACAAATTTTAGTCAAAGAGCACTTGTCATTGAGATATCTTTGAGCCCCCATGTAATCACACAGCAGGCCAAATCTCACACAAAGCGACCTCTGTGACTATGTTTTCTGACACTGTGTCCATCCGAAGGGGTTAGACAAGCAGAATTAGCCAATGGACTTCTAATAAAGGCTTTCTATTAGTCTTGGTCTTTGCTGGAACAATGGTTTCATTTATAATCCCAGCATCAAGATGTCAGTTTGGAAAAGTCACAGCAGAACATTATTTCTAAGCTTTTGGCTGCTTTGAACACTGCTGTATTCATTTTCCTTCTGAATCCATATTTACAGGCTAAGTGTGTGTTCCCAACATGTGAGCTGCTAAACAAAAATATCTAGGGCTATTACTGCCACTAAACAGTGAAGATCAGTCACAGAAGTAGTCTGTACTAATAAAATTCAGCTGTATTGGTTGTTCCCATGAGTTGCTTTCAAATTGCTAATTTTCATTAAGAAAATATAGAGGTACAAGCCACATCATGCATGTAAAGACAAAGAGAGGACTAAACCTAAAATGAGTCACAACACTATTTTTAATCCCTATGATCCATTCTCATCTATCACACAAAAGGCTGATAAGATCTTTCAAAAAATCTCAAATGACTTGAAAACTGCCAATTAGCAGCAAGGGACCGAGGGGAAAGATTCAGTTCCAGAAGCTAAACAGGAGAGTAATAAAATGTATTCTAAGGCAAAGTATCAGTATGATTAATGAAACATCAAACCCCCCCACAAATGCAATGAGATGTGAACTGTTCCCTCCAAGAAATCTTTGAAATCCTATTAGCCTGTAATCAGCTGCAAATGAAAAAGCAAGTCCCTCACACACAGCTGAGAACACTCTATTAGTCTGTACTGACTCCACAGTGATTGGTCCCAAAGCAAACCCCAGATTGCTTTGATGTCTGGTACCCATTGCTTATATATATATCTATACACAGACACATTTATATTTTAATGACGTTTCCAGTTTGCTACACTCCTGCATTTCCTCTGCTAAAGATTTCATGCACAAAGTTGTACGGAACAAAACTTCTTTTTCATGCTTTAGAAAGGTAGTTACAATGGCTGTCTCTACTGTATTTTTCCTTCAATTGCTTCAGCACACCCAAGGAAAAGGCAAAGATGATTTTACCCCAGCCCCAGGCAACAGAACATCAAATATTTACCCAGAAAATGACTTGGGATCCTCAGTCCAAGGACACAGAAGGGACATGTGCTGCTTTGCTCATTACTTTGGCTAAAGACCCCTGTCCTGCTGTTTTGGCAACCTGCACCACCCTCACCCATGAAGTGGGGCTGCTGCCACATCCAGAGCTGCCTTTGCTTGCAGCAGCCCCTCAGCAAGGGCAGCGCCCAGTTCAGTACAGAGCAGACCCTTGGCACCTCAGGAGGAAACTGGACAGTTTCTAAAAGGTAGAAAAAGAGAAGAAGTGGAGAGGGGGGTGGGGGGGGGAAGGCCATGCTTTTCTTCAGAGAGCCTTTTGGTCAGGCTTTCAGACCCTGACACCACATACACTATTGTTTCCAATTGCATGAAGCCATTTCACTGGGCACTTAGTGAGTTAAAAGAGGTCATTGTAATTCATAACGGGGAAGGCTGTTGTGAGCATCACCCTATTATGATACACATTTTCTCTGAATTTAATTTATAGGAAAACACGTGCTGCATAAATTCAGGAAATAATCTCCATATGTTATGTGCTGCAGCCCTCAGCCACTCCGCAGGCTGCAGCATAGCCCAGCTAGGCACTGACCACTCTGCTGGCACTGCCATAATGTATGTCATGGAGCTAATGGGCTGCTCCTGGCTGGGAGCAGCCGGCTCTGGATCCCTCACAGAGCACTCACTGAATCACAGCCCACGCTCCCCTGCCACTGCTGTGACCCCCAGCTGACGGGCCATCAGCAATCGAGCTGCATGGATGCCAGGGGCCCTGGGGATGGGCACTGGGAAATGCTGCCAGGGGCCCTGGGGATGGGGGGCACTGGGAAATGCTGGCATGGCGGGCCCTGGGGATGGGCACTGGGAAACGCCTGGCACAGCAGCTGTTGTCTGGGCGCTGCAGCCAGCCTTGCACACTGCATGCCGGGTGTAAGGAGCTCCTACCCAGCCCGGGCTCTGCCAGGCTGTCAGAACACGCGCTCTGTAATTTAGCAACCATCACAGCCCAGGACTTCTCATCTCATGGCAAGCCCTCAAAACCATTTGAAATCTAAAAAACAAAATAGCTATGCTGTCTGCCTCCCTTCAGGACTCAGAGCAACTCATCTGCCTCAACTCTGGTGAGAAATCTGTTATATCAGCTGACAGCGATACACTTAGGGGTGAGGAGAAACATATTTACTTACACAAAATTTAGCCTATTTTTCCTTTTTTTTAAGCAGGAAAAGCATTACAATGTACATAACGCGAGAAAATGACATTTCTGGCAAATAATTCCAGTGTACACTTCAAAAGTCAGCCTAATTTATATCCTTACAGTATCTTTAGAATATATTTTTCCCTGTTTATGTCATTAAAAGATAAAACCACATCAGCAAATATATACCAAAAGACAAATACATGCAAGCACACGTGCATACCCAAATCAAAATGTTTCAGAAGTACACTGTCATTCTTAGTAGATCAGGCACCATGGTGTGGAAAACGCAAAGATATCACAGTATTTCCCTGTGCTTGTAACACAAAATAAATTGAAATGTTTACATGTAAATATTATTTTGTATTATGATACTGCTGAAAAACCTCATGGAGGCCACAGGGCCTGCAGTCTTGCAGGGCAGTATGTAAATACTGTGAAATAAGATACAAGGAGTTTACATACAACAATGAAATTCTGGTGTTTCAAAGGCAATAGGATTTCTGCCACTGGCTCAGTTGCCCAGGTTTTATATTGTACATAAAGGGAACATTTCACTTAAATCTCCTCAGCAGCAGGCTGGGAATGACTCAAGGAACTAATGAGACATTATTCTGTTGTCTCCCACCACAATTCCCAGGGGTAGAGGGAACCCATTATCCCAGAAGACTACCTGAGCATAGCAGGTTAACACTGACTCTCTTACTGCTAATGACTTAGTTAATGAAATCCTACAAAGTGGGATGCTTGTGAAAGTAAGATGATGATGACACCACATGGCCCATGCCCTGCTTCCCTCTGACCAAGTCCTCACATTCAGTGAGGACCTGGACCCTCCTGACAGATATCTAAGAGGTTGGATTTATTTTGATAGGGCATTACTATCAATAGTGATTCATTTTAATTCATTGCCTCACAATAAATGCCTTGTGTGAGGCATAAAGGCATACACTGAAAAGTTCAATTGAAAAACAATTCCATTTGTGTCTCCTATTCATAGTGTTTTTTTTCCTCCAGTTCCTCATTCTCACTTACAAAGGTCATTTGCATGAAAATAAGATCTTGCTGGTAAGAGCTCACCTGCTGCCTGCTGTTTGGGAGCTATAAGCCTCCCTGTTGTTGGCTGTTGCAATCATTTCTACAGCAGTGATCTGGGATAACGCAAGGATTAAGGCTCTGCAAGAGGGACACTATCCACAGCCCACTAAAGTCACTGGATACTCTTACCTATGACTCAAAAGAGTTTTTATATGGTCTTTGATACCCAGTGTGCTGAGCCTTCACTAATGGTAGGTGCTGTAAAAAGGCTTGTGCTTCCAGTATGCTGATGCTGCCCAAGATCCATTTTTTTGTAATGTCCTGAATGACATCTTCTTTCAGAATCTTCATTAAAGCTTAAGTATCTGTATTTAAAAAGTTTTTCATTCCCACTTTAATTTGCTCTGGGTCTAGACAACCTCATCTTTTGGTCATTTTTCCTTGAAAGTTAAAACTTTAGACTGAAAATGAATCATCAAATCAATGGAACCAGACTCAAGAGGTTAGGCTTAGACAGACCAAAGGAAAGAAAGAATTACTATAGCTTCTTCCCATTCTTACTACCAGACAGAAGACATATAAAAATGCCATTTTTTACCAAGAGCCACAAAACTCATTCAAAATGTTCACAACTAACAACTCTGCTCCTTTCATCTGCCAGGTTGTGCTTACTCCCCCAGTTTTCATCTCCTCTCTTTCATTTAACTTTTTATCACTCCTTTTTTATGACTAATAGCAAACAGGAATGGAATGGCAGGACATGATGATGTGCAGAGGCAGGACTCTAGACCCAAAGGCTGAGAAGTTCCTTCCCAAACTGCTCACAAAACCATCACTGCACCAGGAGATAGTTCTGTGTTTTCGCTCATGAGCTTGGAACTTGCAATGAAGGTTCCGTTTGTCAGGGAGACACAAGAACTGTCTCTGTGCCTGGCTCTTTAGACTCCATGGACAACACCAGTCAGTCCATCAGAGGCACATCCACTGATGCAGTGCAAACATTTATAACTCTGATCCTGCAAGGCACTGAGCAAGCTTCATCCATGCTCAGCATCTCAGGAGCACGGGCAGCACAGGAGTGCCCCTTGCTCTTTTGGGGAATAAGACCTCAGAATTCCAATTCTGCACTGGTTTGTTGCACTCTTGGAATGGTTACCTGTGAGGGAACAGCCCTTTGCAAGCAATAAAGGGGTTGTAGCTGAGTTGGTTGTAAGCATGAGGCTGTGTTTGGCAGACAGGCATTTCCTGACAAGGTTAGCTTACTGTCCCATTACTAGCAACCTGCAGAGGGGATG